TTCAAGCAACTGCACGTTTGCTAATGATTTACATACATCTCCTTGTAGAGTCTCGCACAGCGCCAGAAAATGGAACACAGCCCCGATGGCAAATATGGCGAAAATATTTATTACAGCAGCGGTCAGCAGGTGACACCTGAAATGCCTGTGAAAATGTGGTACGACGAGATCGCCAAATATGACTTTGCCAAGTCGCAATTCAATCCGCACACTGGCCATTTTACACAGCTTATATGGCGCGATACAAAACAAGTGGGCGTGGCCTATGCTGTGTCGTGAGTTGAGAATTCGAAAAAAATATTTTGTTTCTTATAACCTATCTTATTTAGTGGTGAAAAGGCTTGGATTGTTGCCAATTATGACCCGCCAGGAAATGTGAACGGTTTCTTTCGTGAAAATGTGCCGCCAAAAAAGTGAAGAACAAAATGGAGGAATGGAGCTAAGACGAGTATTTTAAAGCAACATGAACGAGTCCTTTCTGAAAAAGGCTAGCATTTTTAATGGAAAGTAATAAGGTTGAAATTTTCACTAAAAATTTCTAAGCGGCTTTAAAGCATAAAATAGTCGTCCAAATTAGCCGAGTCGTAGCGCGAAGACGAAAAAACTTATCTTAAACAACAAATATTGGCGCTGATATCCGGTTTAGTTTAGTCATCATTAGAAAATACATAGTGCAATTTTTTTTATCTTAATATTTTTATTTTTGCTAAAAATAGTACCGAATAGTTACAAATCATTTGTAGTTAACTGAAATTACTTTGAAGTTAATACTAATTAATTGTATTTTATTGTTAAAGGAACAAAAAATACAAGTACAGAAATCACACTAAAGGGCCTGGGGTAAGCCTGCTTAAAAAAAATTATCCCACAGGAGCATATTTTCCGGAGACTATTTTATACAAACCAATTACATAAGAAAAAATTACCGGACACCGAGTTACCGAATTCCTAGCTGGGTGTGAAGACCCATTTTGTTTTTTACGTTTCATTTGATATTATTGTTCACTACGTTTGAAAAAAACGATCATTTGAAATACATTAGACTGTCCCAAATTTTGATACGCATATCCTCCGTATTTGTGCTTTTTAGCCTAAATAGCATTTTTATGACCGTAGGATAACGATAACCCGTGCCAAATTTTAGTTGAAGTTTTAGTCAATAACTTGAATTAAGGCTGCCAAATCGTCCATGAAAACTTTGAAAATGCAAAAAACTCGATATGTTTCCCATATTTGAATGCATTTCTAGTAAATCTGCATTTTTAAATCTTAAAGAGGGCGGCAGGATTTCTCCCAAGGACATAAAAAAATAGTTAATCGAAAAGCACAGTGGATTTGTATTTTAGTCGAATAATTTGTGCATGTGCTGAAAATTTTACAATTGTAGACCATTTTTTAATTGGTTTGACAGGGCGTATGATGAACATTAACTTTTTGTATTCAACTTTTTTAACAAATTATTTTCCTCCTCTCGGGTCGATGAAGAAATAAATGTGGCAGTATTAATTTAAAAATTCGAAAAAATTTCCTTTGAAATTTGTAGCCTTTATTATTCTTGTATATATTAATAAGATTTAAACTAAGATTTTAAACTAAGATTCATCAAAACACATTAAAAATTAAAAGTTTTGAATGATAGTGGGTTGCTACTCCCATGGGTACCAATATTAGGGAGAGCGTAGAACATTTGTTCATGATTTAACTATTGCAACGTTATTTTTTTTTTAATTTTTAAAAAGGTATACCTAAATTTTAATATGCTCTCACATACACTGTGCACGTGTATTAGAGTTAGTTCTTTTAAGTGAACCGTTCACTTGTAGTTCGTTTATCTCAGTGAACTAGTTCTTTAGTTTGTGTAGTCCATTTAGTTCAATTGACGAATTTTATTTTAAACAAAGTTGAATTAGTTTTATTGTCATACACTCTACATACAAAACAAAAACTTACATATTGCTGTGGAATAACATTAAATTAGAAAACTTCTACGCTAGTTTAATATTTGCGAAAAAAACCCGTTAGCAAGGATGTGAAGTAGGAACAATGCATGAGCGTTTCAAAACGCATCAGTAAAGATGGGGATACTCAACATAGGTTCGCGCCGATAATATTTGGATCGCGATCGAAAATGAGAAATAGTAACTGACAAATTTAGTTCAATGAACTGACCGAACTAGCGAACTAGTTCATAGAGATGAACTAGTTCTTTAGTTCAAGAACTATCCAAGCCTAATATGTATGTACTCTGATTTTAAATGTCAATAAACTTTCCCCCTCTACAACAACAGTTTTGGTTGAGCACCTAATTGTGCGCTCTAATTCTTCTGAGCGCAGTGCGTTGGCAAAGCATCCATGGTTGAATTAACTTCATACACCATTTTCGCGAATTAGTCGGTTGATGGTAATTAACACTAAATTTAAATATACAAAGCATTCACTATGGAACTTAGCTGAATACTGGCATATAAAATAGCATATCTAACAAACATTCCCCGGGTTCTCCTACAAAATATGCATGTACTGTACTGTATATGCATAATACTTTTAAATAATGCGCATACACCTACAAAAATCCAAATTCAACTATATTGCCCCCCATTAACTCAGTTTGTCAATGCACTACTCAAAAAGCGAGAATGAGTTTAGGTGTCCGCACGGCCCTCGCATCTGTGTGTACTTGCGCCATGCCCTACTTATTAAAATTACACATCATCCTTAATATTAAACAAAATTAAGTGGCATTGAGGTGGGCATACGAACTCAGCACAGCAGGTGACAGGTATGGCAGGGAACTCGCAGTCAGCCTCCCTTCTAATATTGGCACGAATTTCTGCGCTTGCTTGCTGTGACAAAAGCGTGGCGGAAAAGTTGAAACATTATTTCTAGTAAAATTAAAATATTTATGCTGTGGACGTGCCTCGTAATATAGAATGCAAGTATGTATGTATAAGTATTTGTATAAATTTGAGTGTATGCCGCACACGAAGCGTTGAGATTTTAAAGAGCTGAAATGAGTATTGTCTTTGTTTTGAAGTTATGGTGGAATGTGTAAATATCTGTTTGCGAAAGGTGCTTTAATGAGCGCTCATAGATTTTTTATTAAAAAAAAAACGTGACTTTTAATTTAAAACGTATTTCCAATAGCACTAAACAGGCCCCCCGAAACGGTCGAAACAGGCGCGAACTTGTCCCGAAATGATCAGAGAAATGTCTTAGAATGGCCCCGAAATGGTCCCTTATAAGTCGCAGAATGATCCTAAACTAGCCCCAAAATGATCCTAAAGAATCCTGAACTAGGGTCAAAATAGTCCTCAAATAGTCCTGAACTAGTACCGAAATGGTCCTGAGGTGGACTCAAAATTATCCCGAATTAGGCTCCAAATGTCTCAGAACTAGTCTCAAAATTTCCCTCAAATAATTGTGAACTAGTGACTGGAGACTTTTCAATAATTTTGTTTTTAAATTCAGTTGTGTGTTTACAACCATACTACTTGTTTATTTACTGTACATGTTGTTGTGTGAAGTTTGTATTTGGGGTTATTATTTTGTCGGCGCTTTGCAACTAAATTTATGGCGTTATTTCCGCATCCTGTTTCCGTTCAACGCATGTTTTACGCTCCATATCCGCTACTACGCGTATGCAAAGCAAACATAAACAAAAAACAACAACAACAGTACGTAATATAATGCCTAACAATGCCTTGCTATTTAATTTAAAAATTATTTATGTTCCTGTATGATATTAAATGTCAACGTAATTTACGCGCCTAATACGCTTTGGCATGGAAGTGTACGCTGATAGTAGCTACTATGCACTAGTTTTCTAGTAGGTCGTGTGTATGTACGTGTATGTTTGTATATAGTGAGTCCTATATACGGTCACGTAGCTTTGAAAACAATAAAGCTGGTTGTATGTATTTGTATGTGTAGGTACCACATATACATATGTAAACAGCCTGGTAGATTGGCTTATGCCATTACCCACATTGTAAATGCATTGTGGTTGCACTCAGCGTACAAGGAGGTTCAATATTGTTTTGCATTCAATTAAATTATACAACTAATTTTATGATTATAGTTATCTAAAAAACAGATATTAAAATATACTAATTTTCGGTTGCATTACATTTCATTTGAACTGGAAAATTGAATAGATATGCTATCGAAATACAATAGTAGAAGAGAGCACATGGCGTATGAGCAACATAATTGCGGTATACACTCACAAGATTCTATAGTATGTATGTATAAAACGTACGCTAATAAATTGCCTGCAGTTGGTTTTAGATTCAATTCTTTTTGGTTATATTTAAAGCATAGCAAATTACAGCTAAATAATTATTAGTGTAAAATTTTGTCTATAACAATGAAAATATAATTATTTTGACTATCAAACGAAAGATGCCAAATGTGTTTTTCGGGGTGCGTACTTCCACAACGCAGGACCTGGGTTCGCTACCTAGTCCGAGCAAGCCAAACCAAGCGTATATGACAGTTCGACAAAATGCTCTCAATTTTTGCTTTAACCATCAGCTAGCATCAACAAGCCATGAGCAGAATATTCAGTTTAGAATCTTGCCAACTGAGGTATGAAATTTTATATTTCTATAAAGTAATCCAGCCGCTAATCGAACTTTTACTTAACATTTTTAATACCATACTGAGTGCGCAACAATTCTTGGAAATTACATGCAACAAATTTCTAATAAATTTTTTTTAAGTTGCATTTAATAAAATATTTTTGATTGGATTTTGTAAGAATACACACACACATACTTTCATTCATAAACTTGTATGCACTTCTTTATTTGTGCTTTGCCAAAAGCTGAGTAAATCTCCTCCTATCCAATACCCATAAAATACTCGACGAAATAAACTTTTATTAAGTAGCAGGCAAAAATCCAAACCAATCCCCCCCAATCGTTGAGTACAGCTGGAAGACGTTTTAAAATTCGATTCAAATTAAAAAGTTTACGCATTTAGACTGCTAAACTCACGTCTACCGGCTTTCATTGTTTTTACAGCAAATGTTGTTCACCCTTGAAATGGGCAGCAACGCAACAACAACAACAACAACAACAACAACAACAACAACAACAACAACAACAACAACAACAACAACAACAACAACAACAACAACAACAACAAAACAAAGCGGAAAAGAGTATAAAAGCAGCATTACAAACAAAAGCTTCCAATGACAGGCATTTACAAAGTTTTCACAAACTTGTTGAAAATAATTGTACAAATTTGAAGACAACGCAAAGATGTGTAATGCTGTTGCTTTGAGGGGTAGGGGGAGTACGAAGATGGAAACAAAAAGAATGCAACGATACTCAGGAAATTGCTTTAATTTAAATTCATTTAAAAATTATATGTGAAATCAAGGAAAATTTGATGAGTAAAGACAATAAAGA